TACAGTCCCAGCTACTCAGGAAGCTGAGGCAAGAGAATCACTTGAGCTCAGGAGTTTGAGGTTGCTGTGAGCTATGATGTTACCGCACTCTACTGAGGGTGACAAAGTGAGACTATCTCAAAAAAAAAAAAAAAAAAACCCTGAGACTTTATACTCTAACTTGTACATTCCATAAAATGTACAAAAATGCATGGTTCCTATTTTGCAGTTCTCAGTAGTGGTAGGTGAATAATGTGAAAAAAGTGGGTTATCAAATTGTTTTCAGTCCTAATACTCAATTGTAATGTTCAGGTTTCATTTCCAACTTGTACATTCAATTAGCTTATAAGGTTACTAAAAGAAGTGTTCCTGGGAAAATGCTGTAAATTAATGTTAAGTCAAATCTAATTTCATAAGGGAAATGATAATATAATAGAGATTCTACCCTTGAAACTAAAAGATTCATATATATATCTTCAATCAAGATTAATGTGAATCTATTATGAGGCAGGTACTTTGCTAGGAACAGAAGTAAATGAGACAGAAAGGGTCTCTCCATGGTCACGAGAAGTTTACTCAAACCAATTGTAGTTAATAGTTATTATACTGTGTGCCCCAAACATTTTTCTGTAGAGAGGAATGGACTCATTGGAATGTTTTCTCTGTTCCCATGTTCATAAATTCTAGGGAAGGGATTGGTTCAGCTTGGGTTATGTGTCTACTCCAGAACCTACCAGCTTGACAGAGTTACAGTTGGGGCGGGGGGAGGATGTGTTAAACTGTTGGTCTTTCCTTATTTATACAAGCCTTTTTCCTATTGTGTAAACAAGTTCAAGTTTGGTCTCTGTCATTTTTAACTATGGGTATCCCAATCAATAGAGAAATAATTACAAGTATGCTATGAACAAGAAAACACAGGGTATAGTGGGAATGTATCACTACTGGGGAATGGACACCTTACAAGGGCTCAAAAAGCAAAAAAGATCACTTGGAAATATCCTGCACAGTAATATATAATGCTTGAGTAAGACAACTAAGCAAACAAATAAAGCCATATTAAATATAATAGAGGGCCAAGTGCAGGGGCTCACACCTGTAATACTAGCACTCTGGGATGCAGAGGTGGATGGACTGCTAGAGGGAAGGAGTTTGAGACCAGCCTGAACAAGAGTGAGACTCTGTTTCTAAAAATAGTTGGGCATTGTGGTGGGCACCTATAGTCCTAGGGTGCTCTGGAGGCTGAGGGAAGAGGATGGTTTGTGCCCAAGAGTTTGAGGTTGCTGTGAGATATAATGTCACAGCACTCTACTGGACTCTGTCTCAAAAAATACATATAATAGAGAATCATACTCTGTTATTGAAAACATATATTTTACAGAAAAAATACTGTTTTCATGGCAACCAGTCAAAATAGAAAAAAATATACACCACTAGGATAGCAGAAGACAGAAGAGCAAATGGCTTTTTGAAGGACACTTTTAGGGAAGACTCAAGGTCATTTTATACTTTCTGAAAAAGTAACTCAGGGATGTTGTTTATTTATTTTTTTCATTTTTGAGACAGTCTTGCTTTGTCACCCTCAGTAGAGTGCTGTGGTGTCAGAGCTCACAGCAACCTCAAATTCTTGGGCTCAAGTGATTCTCTTGCCTCAGCCTCCTGAGTAGCCGGGATTACAGGCACCCACCACAACACCCAGCTATTTTTAGAGACAGGGTCTCGCTCTTGCTCAGGCTGGTCTTAAACCCATGAGCTCAGGCAATCCATCTGCCTTGGCCTCCCAGAGTGCTGGAATTACAGGTGTGAGCCACAGTGCCCGGCCGTGTGGATAGCTTTTATAATGCTTGGCTAGACGGATAGTTTTTATAACGCTTAAGTTAGGGCTATAAGTATGCCCATCAGGGATGTAGTTTTCTGCCTTTCCTCAGTCTGTTCCTTTGTAGTCAGCCTTCAAACAAAAGATTAATCAACTCTCAGGGCTGCTTCAGAACATGAAGATCACAAGATACTTTGGTGCCTCCTTTTTGCGATCCCTTCCACCTTCTTGTCTGCTTTCTTGGCTGAACCTCATTCCTTCTTCCTGCCTCTCTGACATAGCTTCCTTTCCTTCCCAGTTCTGTCATAATTGGGCTTATTAAATAAACTGTTTTGTAAATTTACTTGCTTAATGCAGCCAGCCCTGTGGAAAAGTGAGCTCCAGGAAGGGGCCATGTCTTATCTGCCACTAAATCACTGGCATTTAATACAGTGATTTGTACTTAGTGGGAACTTAACAAATATTTGCTGAATGTATGAATGAATATATAAAATAAGTGAATGAAATATTAGACTTTCAGAGCTAGATGAGATCTTGGGATTCATTTAGTCAACTATTCTTCTAGAGATGAGTCAACTGAGGCCCACTGACATGAAGTAATCAGCCCAAGGCACCCAAAAGCTGCTGCTATCTGTGGTCTTAAGCCAAAGAGTCATGTGGAGAGGACCAGAAAGGGTGAGGTGGTCTGCATGTTCCCTGTCTGCTGCAGTATCATCTAACTATTTATTGTGTAACAGTAAATAAGAAATATAACCAGAAACGTCTAGAGTTGAGGCTTCTTTGGAAATCATGGTCATAGAATCATGTTCTGTAACTCTTCCTTTAACATGGAAGGCAAGTGGGCAACTTTTTAAAGTAGGTAACTTGTTCTTCTATATCCCAATATCCTTTTTCTATGCTCTGGGAAAAGATATGAATGTGGCTGCACAGTAGCTCATGCCTATAACGATACCAATATTTTAAAATTATCCTAGCACTGTGGGAGGCCAAGACTGGTTGATTGCCTGAGCTAAAGAGTTTGAGACCAGCCTGAGCAGGAGCAAGACCCCATCTCTACTCAAAATAGAAAAACTAGCCAGGCATAGTGATGCACGCCTGTAGTCTCAGCTACTTGGGAGGCTGAGGCAAGAGAATCACTTAAGCCCAAGAGTTTGAGGTTGCTGTGAGCTGTGATGCCATGGTAGTCTACCGAGGGTGACAGAGTGAGACTCTGTCTCAAAAGATAAAAAAAGAGGCTTGGTGCCCGTAGCTCAGAGGTTAGGGCACTGGCCACATACACCAGCTGGCGGATTTGAACCCAGCTCGGGCCTGCTAAACAACAATGACAACTACAACAAAAAAATAGCTGGGTGTTGTGGCGAGCACCTGCAGTCTCAGTTACTTGGGAGGCTGAGCCAAGATAATTGCCTAAGCCCAAGAGTTTGAAGTTGCTGTGACACCACGGCACTCTACCAAAGGTGATATAGACTCTGTCTCAAAAATAAAGTAAAATAAAATAAAATAAAAAAAGAAAAGATATGAATGTGCAAGTTTGAATGTTCCCTGTCTCTTTGCCCTATCAGTTGTATAAATCCAAAGCTTAAGGGCTATGCTTGACCTTTACTTCTTCCTCAGTTCCCACTGTCAATCCATGAAAGTTTACCGATTTTGCACTTTCATTATTTACTATATCTGTTTACTTCTTTCCATCTTGACATTCATCCCTCTAGTGCAGAGTTCCATCATCTCTCCCCTGCATTACAGTAGTAATAGTTTTTCAAGTGGTCTCCCTATATTGTCCCCTCTAATATATTCTCCAGAGTGATATTTTTTCTTTTCTTTTTTTTTTTAAGAGACAGGGTCTCCTTACTCTGTTGCCTGGATTGGAGTCCAGTGGCTCGATTATAGCTCACTGTGGCCTTGAACTCCTGGGCTCAAGTGATCCTCCTGCTTCAGCTCCCAGAGTAGCTGGGACTATAGGTGTGTGCCACAATGCTTGGCAAATTTTAAATTATTTTTGGAGAGACAGGGTCTTGCTATTTTGCCCAGGCTGGTCTCAAACTACTAGGCTCAAGCAATTCTTATGCCTTGGCCTCCCAAAGCACTGGGATTACAGGCGTGAGCCACTCTACCTGGCCCAGAGTGCTATTTTTAAAATGAAAATCTGACCTGATCTCCCTGCTTAAAACTCAATAACCTTCTATTGTTTTTAAGACAAAGAACACAACCTTTAACATGTCTTTTAGTATTTGTGTGGTCCCACTGAGGCCATTTACCTTGCTGCCTGTAGTCCAGCCACAGTGCCTTCTTTCCATTTTGAAACTATGCTAAAAGCCTTTTTACTACCAGGTTTTTGCACAAGCTATTTGGTGCCTGAATGGTGTTACACATCCCCCTTGCTCCCTTGCGCTGTTCAGTTGACACCAGGAACCTTTCCTACAAGAATTCTATGAGAATTATGAGGCATGGTTCAATATCAATTCTATTCTATTGATACTGAATATTGATATTGAATAGATATTGATATCTATTCAATATCAACTAAGCACTGAGAAAATTAACTCATATTAAGTAGGTAGATGAGAATGGAAGGAATTTTATTTTTAGCAATGTTACTCAATTTTTTTTTTTGCAGTTTTTGGCTGGGGCTGGGTTTGAACCCGCCACCTCCAGCATATGGGGCCAGTGCCTTACTCTATTGAGCTATAGGCACTGCCCATGTTACTAAATTTTTTGAATGTCTTCTGAATTAGCCTTTGTATAATTTTGTTGAAGGCAGAAGATCTGGAAACTACCAGATTTGTAAAAGGATGTTTTTATAAATGTCATTAGATATAACTTTCTTAACAATAATACCAATATTTCAAATTATTCTCTTCTTTGTTGTTTGATACCCCTGAGGTTTTTACCCTCTGGAGTAATGTACCAATATATTTATTTTCTCTCCTTCTCTCTTTCTGTCTCTTTTTTGGGGGGTGCGCGGGGCGGGAGGTTGAAGGATAATTGTGCAAGGAGAGGTGAGACAAAGATCCAGTGCGCCTAAGACAAGGTGTTAGGCAGAACAACTCTAGAAGAGAAGGGCAGGGGGATCTGAAGATCTGGAAAGTGATTGCTTTAAAACTATCAATGTCCTTCCTTCCTCACCTTCTAGCAGTAGAGGTTGATGTTAACTGCTCTAACTCATGATGGGATTTTATGAGAATACAGAAAAGCTTCTTTTCCTACTTACCATTGGTTCATCCGTGTTCTTTTGGAACTGTACCAGCCGAACTCTGGTCACATTCTCCATATCCATGTCTCCGTTAGCACTTTCTGGAGAATCACCGTTTAAATATGGAGAGGTGGGAGGAGGTGTGACCCTCAATGCTTCATCGCTGTAAACTTCATGTGCCACTACGTCGTGAGTCTGAAGTAAGGCCTAGCATTTCAAGAAGGAAATTAAATATTAATAATAAATATTACTATTCTAGCAGAAACTAATTTTTATAAACATAGGTAATATCACTTTGCCTCTCAAAGATATAGCTCCTTTAAAGAGAGTGTTATACCTACATACAACTATACCTCAATTTCTTTGTGACAAATAATCATTATAAATGAATTTTGTAAAATGTTAATGAATGAATGAGTAAATCAATGAATATATGTATTTGTTGATTACTTGGGCTAGAGGTGTTGCCTGATGCTATGAAAATGCATCAAACTAACTTGTCTAAATAAAGGCAGACAGAGTGCAATTTCAAATAATTTAGCAGAAAGAATTGTCTATAAATAGATCTGGCAAAGTTGTGCAGGAGCTTAAAATTGAAGCAAATTAAAAAATAAACTGTGATTGGGCAGCGCCTGTGGCTCAGTGGATAGGGTGCTGGCCCCATATACCGAAGGTGGTGTGTTCAAACCCGGCCCCGGCCAAACTACAACAAAAAAAATAGCCAGGTGTTCTGGTGGGCACCTGTAGTCCCAGCTACTCGGGAGGCTGAGGCAAGAGAATAGCCTAAGCCCGGGAGTTGGAGGTTGCTGTGAGCTGTGTGATGCCACAGCACTCTACTGAGGGCAATAAAGTGAGACTTTGTCTCTACAGAAAAAAAAAAAAAACTGTGATAAATAGGATATTGAGCAAGTTATCTTCCATCAGTGGTATTAACAATAAGACTTATATAACACAAAGAATGAAGATAATTTGTAAGATACAATTTAGTAAAAGAAGCAAAAATACATACCAATATATCTTAAAAATGTAATTTTCCAAAATATCACATATGATATGGAACTCAAAATCTAACATTAACTCTTTTTGTTCATTTCTATTTTGGGGCACTAATCTAAATGAAAAATAAGTTGACAATTATTATGACTGCTTTTTGCAAAGTTCATTAACAGAGAAAAAGTAATTTCTTTGCATGGATATCTGCATATGTCATTTCGGTGAACATGGATAATAAATGTTCCTTATTTTCCTAAAAAGAAGTATCCTTTCACTCACACTTTTTGTGCCATCATAAAAACCACTTTCTAGTAAGCATAAACATTTCTATTTCAACGAAAAACTACAGCTCAGTATTAGTATTTTGGAGCTTTGTACAGAATATATTTTCTCATTTGCTAACTATAAATTTAGTTCTATTTCAATCTGTGATCTGTGTGGTAATGAGGTTATCTGCAGAAAATGAAGTGCAATAAAAACTGCTTTAAAAGCATAACCCATAGCATCTGAAATTAAGTTATTTAATTAAAAGGCTTATGAAACTCATGACTTGGCTATTTTAATTTCAATTTAATTTTCAATGCATGCACACAAGGCAAAAAAGATAACGATGCAGTAAAATCAAAAAGAAGATGGTGCTGGTTTGTCGTCTAGAACGTGCTCTGAAGAATGTATTTATTTGGCTTTCTAGTGGAAATGGCAGATGCTTTCATAATCTCAGATTGCAGGTTTGGGTGAAGGATGCCCAGGGGCACTCAGTAGGGCTCCACAATGGCCTTGGGGATCTTGGCTTCCTCATCAGGGCCCTGACTGCACCCTATACTAGTACTCCTAAGTCCAAGTGTGGAGCTCGTGTTATGTGGGCAAATCCCTCTTTTTCTAGTTTACTTGTGGCCACTTAAGAAACTAAGATATAGGGCAAAAAGCAAAACTCAGCAACAGGCAAACCAGAAAACTTCATTTGCTAAAATCACACTCATCATCGGCCAGGCATGGTGGCTCATGCCTGTAACCCTAGCACTCAGGGAGGCTGAGGTGGGTGGATTGCTTGAGCTTAGGAGTTCAAGACCAACTTGAGCAAGACAGAGAACCTGTCTCTACTAAAAAAATAGAAAAACTGGCTGGGTGTTGTGGCACATGCCTGTAGTCCCAGCCACTCAGGAGGTTAAAACAAGAGGATCTCTTGAACCCAAGAATTTTTTTGATTTTTTTTTGAGACAGAGTCTCACTATGTCATCCTTGGTAGAGTGCCATGGCATCATAGCTCACAGCAACCTCAAACTCTTGGGCTTAAGTGATTCTCTTGCTTCAGCCTCCCAAGTAACTGGGACTACAGGCACCTGCCACAACACCCAGGTATTTTTTTATATTTTTGCAGTTTTTGGCCGGGCTGGGTTTGAACCTGCCACCTCCAGCATATGGGGCCAGTGCCCTCCACCTTTGAGCCACAGGCACCACCCCAACACCCAGCTATTTTTTTGTTGCAGTTATCATTGTTGTTCAGCTGGCCCGGGCTGGATTTGAAACTGCCACCCTCAGTGCATGTGGCTGGTGCTATAACCGCTGTGCTACAGGAGGTGAGCCATTGAACCCAAGAATTTGAGGTTGCTGTGAGCTATGGTGCCAAAGGCGACAGAGGGAGACTCAGTCTCAAAAAAAAAATTACACTCATCAACTATGGATGTGTTTCCCACAATTACTCAATTTTTAAAAACATGCTTTGTATGACTGGGAGATGTATAGTCTCAGGTAAACAGATAGCCAAGACTTCATCAGGATAATGATAATTTTTGAAATTATATGGGTTGAAAAACGCTTATGCTGCTTTTTATAAAGGAGGGTAAGTTCACAATCATAATACTCAAATTGAACTTTAAAAGAAAAATGTACAAATTATGTTACCAAATAAGGTCATACTTAATATTATCCACAATTTGTCACTATAAGATTATTATTACAAAATAAAACTTAACCTAAACCTCTAATTCATATGCAAACAGAAAGATAAATGGGGCCACTTACAGATTACTTTTTTAAAAGCTTATAAAAGAATATGTAAAATAAAAACTATCGAAATAAGAGTTTGAACATTTTTCTTCAAATATATTATGAGATATGATTGAGCAACTGTTAGTCAGCTGAAATAGTTGTTTTAATTACATGAGAAGAATCATGTAATAGGAAAGAAACACTTTCACTTTTTGTATTATGATAAGGATATGTCAAAGACAGCTAACAACTTCAGACTAGTGTGTAAAAAAAAATCTGACTACTTAAAAGTGAGTTAAAAAATATGAATTTCAGGCTTGAAAAGTGGTTCCTCTGACTTTTTAATTACAAACCATAAAATCTACCACTTAATAATGAAACTTCCATGACAACCTCAAATGATTTTAGCCTTTTAGCCTCTTGTTTTTAGAAAAGGAGGATAAAATTTTTTTTTTTTTGTTCTGGATCCTATTTCTTAAAGACAAAAATTAAAGCATTAACTTTCTATACTGCTAAAACATAAGTAATTTATCTTTAACGCTTCATATTTTATAACTGCAATGATCAAAGTAACCATCCTTTTAAAAAACATCTTTCAAATGGAATAACTGAAAAAGTAATTCATGAGATAGAATAACTCTCAAATCTTGGCATAATAATAAAAAAAACTATAAGCATTAAAAGATTTCCCTTTAGCTATAGATATTTCTTTTAAAATACCAAGATTTGGGGCAGCACCTGTGGCTCAGTGGGTTCAGTGCCGGCCCCATATACCAAGGGTGGTGGGTTCAAATCCGACCCCAGCCAAACTGCAACAACAACAAAAAATAACCAGGCATTGTGGCAGGTGCCTATAGTCCCAGCCACTTGGAAGGCTGAGGCAAGAGAATCGCCTAAGCTCAAGAGCTGGAGTTGTGAGCTGTGACATCACAGCACTCTACTGAGGGCAATAAAGTGAGACTCTGTCTCTAAAAATAATAATAATAAACATAAATAAATAAAATACCAAGATTTTGAAAACATGATTTTTAAAATGCTTATGATACTGACCACACACACGTTTATTTGGAAATGACCAGTGAGCTCAACTTAAGTTTATGAGAAAATCAATCAATGTTATAAATTGGCTTGAACCTCATTGAGGCCACTTACTAGGTAGGGGACCTTAAGCAAATCTCTTTACCTGGTTAGGGCACGGTTTCCTCTCTGAACTATAAAATGAGGTTAATCACATCACCTCAGATCCCAACCATTGGCATGTCCTGTTGCACCTAACAATTTTCAACACAGAACCTCTATTTGCCCATGTTATACCACTCTCATCTTCTTCCAATGTCTCACCTCTTATACCACCTCCTAACTGGTCTCCCTTCTTATCCCCCTACAGTCTATTCTCTACACATCAGCCCTAGCAATCTCAAAAGCATGGATTGGATAATATGTCCCTGTTTGCAATCTCTTAGTGTATCCTATGTAATTATGAGAAAACTCCTGATTAGTTACCATGGCCTTTAAAGCCACCCTTGGTCTGGCCTCTGCTGATCTCTCTTACCTCTTCTTTTTTTTGAGACAGAGTCTCACTTTGTCACCCTTGGTAGAGTGCCATTGCGTCATAGCTCACAGCAACCTCAAACTCTTGGGCTTCAGTGATTCTCTTGCCTCAGCCTCCCAAGTAGCTCGGACTACAGGAGCCCACCACAACACCCAGCTATTTTTAGAGATGGGGTCTTGCTCTTGTTCAGGCTGGTCTCCAACCTGTGAGCTCAGGCAATCCACCCACCTCGGCCTCCTAGAGTGCTAGATTACAGCCATGAGCCACTGTGCTCGGCCTCTTACCTCTTCTTGGACCACTTTCTCCCTTATTTATATCTTATATCTCAGCCACAACGGACTTATTTCTGTGCTTAGAACTGACACAGCTCCTTCCTGCCTCTGGGCCTTTGCATTTGCTCTTTCCCACGCTTGGACAGTCAGAAGGCTGGCGCTTTCATATAACAAGTCTCAGCCAAGGTGTTAATTCCGCAGAGGGGCTTTCCCTGGACTGTGTAAAGCAGCTCCCACTTAGTACTATCATTTCTGCTCCATTATCTTTTCTTTCTTCATAGTTATTATCACTATATCAAATTATCTTTGTTAGCTTACTTGCTCACTGTTTGTCTCTACCTCATTTACCCATCCCCTAACCTACCCTCACTAGAATCAAAGTTTCATGTGGGCAGGGATCTGGTTTGTACTATTCATTACCATATCCTTAGTGTGTGGTACACAATAGGCATTTACAAATTTGATAAATGAAAAAAAAGTCTTTTAAACACCTAGTTAGGTATTTTAAGAGATTATAAAGCTGGGCACACCTGAATCCTAGCACTCTGGGAGGGTGAGGAGAGAGGATTGATTGAGTTTAGGAGTTTGAGACCAGCCTGAACAAGAGTAAGACTCCATCTCTACTAAAAATAGAAAAATTATCCAGGCTTTGTGGCACATGCCTGTAGTCCCAGGTACTCATGAGGCTAAGGCAAGAGGATCTCTTGAGCCCAGGGGCTTGAGGCTGCAGTGAGCTATGATGATATCATAGCACTTTACCCAGGATAACAGAGCAAGACTCTGTCTCAAGAAAAAAGAAACAATAAGGATTATTATTAGTAGTATTTTTTGAGACAGAGTTTTACTTTGTAGCCCTAAGGTAGAGTGCTGTGATGTCATACCTCACAGCAAGCTCAAACTCTTGGGCTCAAGCTACCCTCGTGCCTCAGCCTCCCAAGAAGCTGGGACTACAGGGGCCCAACACAACATTTGGCTATTTTTTTTAAGAAATGGGGCCTTGGTCTTGCTCAGGCTGGTCTCGAACTTGTGAACTCAAACACTCCACCCGCCTTGGCTTCCCAGAGTGCTAGGATTATAGGTGTGAACTGCTGCACCCAGCCCCCAATAAGAATAATTTAATTATTATTTCTGAAAATGTTTGTTACTAATAGCAATACATTAACTTCTATCTGACTTCAGAAAAGCAAAACAAATAGACTTAGAAGGCAGATAAGCTGTAAGACATGGGGCTAAGTGAGCCTTAATGATATCTGGGGACAAAAAACCCCTTTAATCTTAAAAAAAGGCCTCTTATTTGTGTATATGTTAATTTCTTTGGCTTCAAATCTGAAAGACTGATGGACCTATATCATTCTTGAATTCTTGAATTCTTGAATTGAGCTGAAGTTACTTAGCAATTTAGAGATCAACAGGTCTGTCCAAATTTATTATTATTTTCCTTTTATTTTTTTAGGACGGAGTTTCACTCTCTCACGCGGGCAAGAGTGCAGTGGTATCATCACAGCTCACTGGAACGTGAAACTCCTAGGCTTAAGTAAATCCTCCTGCCTCAGCCTACCTAATAGCTGGGACTACAGTTGACACCACCACACCTGGCTTATTTTTCTATTCTTTGTAGAGACAGGGTCAGTCTTGTCTCAAACTCCTGAGCTCAAGCAATCTTCCTTCCTTGGCCTTTCAGAATGCTAGGATTATAGGCATGAGCCACCATGTCCAGCCTGTTGAAAGTGTCTGTTTCTACCTATTAAAACTGCATGGAACAGTCAGGCCAGGAGAGACTAACCTCTTTGTAAATGGGCAAGTTCCTAATTTACTTAATATTGTACTGAGAATTTACAATGTGCCTTATACGTGATAGAGACTATGGGGTAACTAATAATATTTATTAGCTAACATTTTTTAGGCATTAAGCATATGTTAATTCTTATTCCAACTCCATGAGGTTGGCTCAGAGAGTTAGAGCTCACAGTGTTAGGGCGGCAAGACTGGAGTTCAGCCCCAGGTCATCTGAACTGACATCCTTAACCATTTCTTTTTTTGCAGTTTTTGGCTGGGGCTGGGTTTGAACCTGCCACCTCCGGCATATGGGGCTGGTGCCCTACTCCTTTGAACCATAGGTGCTGTCCCAGCCTTAACCATTTTTTTTTCCTATAGAAGACATAATTTCTAGAGGAGAATTAATTATGGGGAAACATGGTTTACACATAAGAAATAATCAGCAAACAAGACAATATGAAGGGAAATTTAACTCCTGAGATTTGGGACTCCTTGGATGGTACTAATTAAAGACATATAGTTTCTTCACTGTCCTGCTCTGTGAAACAGATGGCAACATCTCAAAGATCATAGGCTGAATGAGAACATCCAAACTGAGCTGAGATGTGGATGGACACAGAACTGCCCAAGTCTATTCACCAGAGAAGGGACCTACTTCACTATACCAGCATACATTACAATGTGATGTAGATAAATACAATAAGTGGAATGGAGTTAGAGAAGAGAAAGTTCAATGTGGAGTTTAGAGAGGTTAGGAGAGATTTTGATAGCAGAGGTGGGATTGAAACTGAGTTCTGTGTTTATACACATAAGTTGTAGAAATGTAGTCACCCACAGGCATAGAATCTGTATTCCTAACTATAACTCACCAGAGAGTGCTACTATCATAGAATAAAGTCGAATATGCTCAAAGATTATATTATACATGAGGTCAGCCTTTAATGCTTGGGTGGGAGAGCTAGGGAAGGTAAATATGGCAATTGCTTTACTTTGAGGAAGAAAAATGTATTTCAATAACTGGGTTAAAATTTTAAAAACACTATATCATAAAATAGTCTGTATAAGCAAAACTCACAGGTAAGTGCTTTGATATACATATACCATTATTTTTAAAATATCACCTGCAATAATAGTAATAAGAACAGGGCTTTTTAAGTCAGATTTTTTCCCCAAGGGGAATTCAGCTAAATTTTCTACTTTTCACATATATTCCACATGTACCAATATGGCTTCTGTTAAAAAATGTTTTATTCAACATAAATTTCCATCTGTAATTGTGCTTTTGAATTGCAGTTAAGTAGATAAATTATAGACTTTTTCTATAGAAAAATATCTTATCTATTTTGAGCTTTTTTTTTTTAGCCATTTAGCTTTATAATAATTGGTTAAATACAGGTGCTACCCTATTTTCCACACAGTATAAATGAATTAAGAAAGGGAAGAGTTTTTGCCTTCTCAAAAAAAAAAATGTAATTTCTTCCAATGTATCACCTAGGTTCAGATAAATTTTTAATAGTGAAAACTGTCGCTAATTTTAGCTCTTTGTGGTTTAAGTCACAAAAAACAATTCCAGTGACTGAAGGACTATCCCATAAGAAAGCAAATCCCTTGTCTGATTACTACACAGACCCTGAAAAGCCTCCTCACCAACAGTATCTTTAAAATTGTGACACAAGATAAATAAAAGAATTTCTTTTTTTGAGACAGAGTCTCACTATATCACACCTGGTAGAGTGCCCTGGCGTCATAGCTCATAGTAACCTCAAACTCTTGGGCTCAATCAATTCTCTTGCCTCAGCCTCCCAAGTAGCTGGGACCACAGGCACCTGCCACAACACTCAGCTATTTTTAGAGATGGGGGTTTTGCTCTAGCTCAGGCTGGTCTTGAACTCGTGAGCTCAGGTGATTGGTCTATCTCAGTCTACCAAAGTGCTGGGATTACAGGCCTGAGCTACCACGCCTGGCCTAAATAAAAGAATCGTAAGGTATTTGGTATTACCTGTTATTAAAATCTTAACAGCCTGGTATTATATGGATAAAAATGCATTTCATGAAGCTGGCTATATATTGAGGCTTATTAAAAACTTCTTTTGAAAGTGAGGTTTTAGGTTCGGCGCCTGTGGCTCAAGCGGCTAAGGCGCCAGCCACATACACCTAAGGTGGCAGGTTCGAATCCCCAGCCCAGGCCCACCAAACAACAATGATGGCTGCAACCAAAAAATGGCCAGGCGTTGTGGTGGGCGCCTGTAGTCCCAGCTACTTGGGAGCCTGAGGCAGGAGACTCGCTTGAGCCCAGGAGTTGGAGGTTGCTGTGAGCTGTGATGCCATGGCACTCTACCCAGGGGGATAGCTTGAGGCTCCGTCTCAAAAAAAAAAAAAAAAAAAAAAAGAAAGTGAGGTTTTAGTTCCATGGAGGTTTGTTACTTACCATGAAATGAGGTTGTGTTAAAATACGCTTTAGTTCCTTTGCATCATTATTCTCAGGGTAACATGAAATTTCTTCCAATACCTAAAAAATAAGCAAGATATATAATAGTGAAAACATGACACAAGATTTACAATATATAGAATTTTTTCTTTTTTTTTTTTTTGAGACAGTCTTTCTCTGTCACTCTGGCTAGAGTGCTGTGGCATCATCACAACTCACTGTAACCACAGACTCCTGATTTCAAAGGATCCTCCTGCCTCGGTCTGCCAAAGCACTGGGATTATAGGCAAGAGCCACTATAGCCAGCTCTGGAACTCTTTTAAATTAAAAATTATGAGTGGATTTTTATGGTAGGCAAAAAAATCATTTGGAAAAAAATTTTTCATTTTATTCAAAGATTATAAATGTATAAAAGAATGGTATTGATGGCAATAAATGGAAACAAATTGTTACAATGGCACTAAAAGCTAATAAGAAACTTTCTTTTATATTAACAGCACTGTCAATTCCTTTTAGAAATGTCAAAATGACATAGATATAAAAAAATTAAAGATGAATACTAATTAGAATATTTAATTAATTAAGAATACACTTAAATAATTTTCCTTTAAGTAATGTAGAAAATGCAAAAATGCCTGGCAGGATCAATGATACCCTCCACAGTCATCTGCCCATATAGAAGAAACCATGTTCTGCTGATGGCTCTTAGAAATAAGTGCCAGGGAACACAAAAGAACATTAAAAAAAATCTCATTTTCTCCTTCCATTTAAATTTTCCTCACTAATTATTTAAAATTTCCTCTGCACAGGTAAACATGGTTGCTTTCAAATAAAATTGTTCTTCCAAAGTTTTCCCTTACCAAGAGTTTACCCACTTGTTTATGGGACAAGCCCACAGGAGAGTCTCTATTCTTTTTCTGAGTAAATGCCTGCTTCTATTCTCAATGCAGAAGGCTGGATTCACAGAGAGGTTTCCTACATTGTACTCCATGGAATTCCAACAATGGAGCCAGTGAAAGATTGCTTCAGCATGACTAGATAGCAGGAGTATACCACCCAGAAGGACTCTCTCACATCAAATGGTGAGAACTTCACAAATGCTTTATACTGGGGCAGGAGGGTACACTGTGAGGTCACAGACTGAGCTTAGACTTCAGCATTGTAAATATAATGTTCTGTGCCAATCAACCACTGTTTCAGGGAAGAATAAATGAACAAGAACTACAAGGGGTCTTTCTTATCCTAATACCCTGTTAATAAGTGCTGATTATGCTGTTTATTCATATTGTTTACTGATGATAAACCAGTTCTCTTTGGTATATTTTATGTTCTGAGTTTTTCCACCAGTGAAACGAAAGGATAAAACCACATACTCTTCTCTGGTTCCTTGTTTCTCACAGTCCATGATTTTAAGTACAGAGGTGTGGTCTTTTAAGCACAGTTAGGTGGAAACTTTCAGCAGGTTTGCACTGTCCAGTTGAGTCAAAGAATTATGAAGATAGGTTGGTGACTTAATATCCTCTGCCTGTGATGCTGTAATTCCTTTCCATGAGTGCTTGATGAGCAAAGTTAGAAACACCCTCTTCCAAGCTTGTCCTGACCAAGTCGGGAGGCCTGGAAGCCTCCACGGCATTGATCTCATTTCTCAGAATATACAATATTTTCCAGTGTAGATCTTATGTTTAAAATCTGATAAGGAAGGGATTGTGTCTTTCATACTCTTTTACTTAGTAACCTCACTTTATAGGAAATGATTTGTTTTTAAAAAGGGAATTCTTTTTGCATGAAGAGTTTTATATGATCAAAAGATGAAAAAGCTTATGTGTCTAATAATGGGGGACTTGCTGACACACTATAATTTAATAAAAGCAAAGAAAAAGTATACAGTTACTAGAAGTTATATTTATGAAGACCAAGTAGAAACATGAAAAAATGCTTATATAATGTTAGGTTAAGAAAAGATACATTTTTGATTACAACTATATAAACATTTATATGCTAATGGATAATAACTGGAAAAGGATATGTAAAAGTGGAAACTACTGTGTTAGAGTGATGGAATCAAAGATCAGTTTTTATTTTCTAAATTTTCTGCAATATCATGTTTCTATTATACATAAGTTAAAGAAAATGTGTGAAAGATACAGCCCCTTGCATTGACAATTTATAAAAATGACTTCTTTGAACTCAGTATATATGATTGCTATAGAAAGAAATCTAATTATCATCCTAAAAATGCAATTCATATTTTCATAGAAAGTCTTATTTCCAAGCACAGTAAAATAACTTCTCTCTTTAAAAAAAGGAAAAGGAAAAGAGAAGTAAAGTTGACATTAACATATTCAAATTTACACAGTAGAATCAGAGCCAGAAATCTAAGTAATAACGCTGCTGAGATTTTTTTTCCTGTTCTGTGTGTATGTTCAGTGATAAACTTAGAACTACTAAATCTGAGTATAATGAGTCAAAATGTGACTCCAAAGAAACTGTTTCTAAATGTGCAGCAGAAATGTCTTCAATAAAGGTAACAAATACAACGATATCAAATACTTTTACAAAACACATCACTTACCTCTTTGGCTCTCTGCACAGCATCGCTTGGAGGATTCCTGATTTGTGGTGAAGATTTTGTGTTAATTTTGTCATACAGCTAAAAATCAAAGAAGAAAATCCGATCAATACTCAGAACTCTTTGTTAAAATTCAGAGCTTCATATTTATTACAATGTCTTCCTCTTAAAAAGGCAGGCTGATGATTTCAGTGGGATCCTCGTGTTAATAACCCCTTAATTGTCCAATGAAACCAATTAGACTAGGAGTCTTACACATAACTTTTCAAAAAATCATCTTTAATAGACCAAAATTCTGTCAATGTGGCAATTTCCTTGTCATTTTAAATTTGCCAGTATTTCAGCAATCACAGTGCTTTTTTCCCCCTGACAGAAGCAACTTTTAATAACATGAATGCAGAGTAAACTGAAAGAATGCTTTCTGGCCAAGATATGCCTGAAAGAATTTTCACAGAAACCTAAATCTTGGGAAAGGGCAAACCCAACTCCTTCTAGGAAGGAATGTTCTCACAAAAGGTTTATGCTTATTTTACTAGGGCTGTTCATTAACAGACCAGTGCTTGCATCCTTCAGCAGGAAGTCAAGGACATCTGCTTTTTTCCTTTCCACTCTGCCAATTCAGAGTGTGAGAAGATACTGAAAAGAACCCAAATATATTTTTAAAAACCCACAAGCCTAAATGAACCAAAGTTTAACTTTCTAAAGATTAATTTAATTCTCTAGAGAACAAAGCTCTGTAGTTTACCAATACAATTCATATATTAATTTCTACTGCGTATAGTATGTTTTATAGTCATTAGTCTGCTTTGAAAAGTGAAAAGTTAAAAACGACCTAGGCTAGTCTGAATGTTTCTATTTCCTAACTTCTCTAAAATAGGTGGGTATTTTTGTTACTGGTCTTGTTCTTTATTTCTTTGCCTACTCTGTAGGCTAATGCTAGCTCACACTAATGCTAGGCTGAGAATTAAAACACTCACAATAAACATTCTTCAGATTACGGTCTGATTTGTTTATACTGAAGTAAGATAAATCTTGATGACTTGTAAATATTTGGGCCACATCATACATAAAAATGCCTAACAAGAGCAATGTGAAGATAGAGCAGGGACCATTTTGAAATGATGACATTAACTAAGAAAGCACTACTAAATCGGAGGTTAACTAACATAGTGTAAGTAGACTAGTAAAATACTGCTCTGTTTAAAACATAAATTTAACATTTTAGAGAACTAGCAATTTGGGGCTGGTCACAGAAGTTTGCCCAAATCTGTATAGAATGTACATGGGTAGTCTCTATCTTCTGAATAGTTTCTATCTCTGAAGACTGCCAATTTTGAAATGCGGAACTGGGGATTATATTCTCTCACAGAAACAAAAGTATGAATAGTGATTAGGTTCCCAAACGAGCCTACAAAAATGAATGAAATAATGTACATATATAATGCTAAAAAGTTAAAAAAAATCCCCACACCCAAACAAAACACCAAAAAACTAAGAAACCATAAGCTTAAAGAAAAACATTTAAAATATATAAAACTTGTAAGATGAGTAAATTCTAGAGATTTGCTGTACAACATTGTCCCTGTAGTTAATAGTACTATATTGTGCACCTAAAAATTTGTTAAAAGGGTCAATTTCATGTTAATTATTATCACATCACAATAAAAAACCACATGATACTCAAAAAAGACAATCATCATCTGACATGTCATAATATTAATGATTAAGCAAAGTTTAAATAACCCAAAAGAATGAACAAAAAGATTTTTAAAAATCTCAAACTTGTTTGGGAAAAAAAGCAAATTTAATTCAAGGATTTATAGGTTAATGGCACCATCCTTTATAATGTCTAATTCCACCACAAACTGTAAGTTTTACCTTTTTCTTGACCAAGGACTATGACTAAGACTGCTTTCAACATTTTCAACCATGATTAGAATAAGTTTCTATTTATTTATTCATTTTTTAGAGACAGAGTCTTGCTCCTGTCACTCATGCTAGAGTGTATTTCACTGTAACCTCAAACTCCCAGGCTCAAGTGATCCTACTGCTGAGTATCTGGGACCACAGGCGCATGCCACTATGCCTAGCTAAATTTTTTATTTTTTTTGTGGAGACTGGGTCTCACTATGTTGCCCAGGCTGGTCTCAAACTCCTGGTCTCAAGTGATTCCTCTGCCTCAGACACCCAAAGTACTGAGATTATAGGCATGAACCACTGTGCCTGGTCTACTTTCTTTAACAACATGTATCAATTTTTACTCAGGAAGCAACAAAAATCCCACAATTCCCCAAATTAGAGACTTTTTATTTTTGGCCTGGTCTTACTACGCCAAGTATAGTTCCTTCGGTCTTATATCAGTGTAGTTTCTTGAGGACATGTGGCAGACTCAGATGGAGTGCTTATCAGACACAGATTGTTGGGTCCAAGTCCAGATCTACTTACTGCATTAGAATTTAAGAAGGTCCAGAAATCTATACCCTAATAAACTTTGTAAGTATTTAATAATTTAATCTTATGTTCAGGGCTAAATTTTGAGAGTAATAACTGTACTATTGCTAATAGTGACAACAATTGCTTTCATTTATTTATTTATTTTTTGAGACAGAGTCTCAATTTGTTGCCCTTGGTAGAGTGTTGTGGCGTCATAGCTCACAACCTCAAACTCTTGGGCTCAAGCAATCCCCATGCCTCAGCCTCCCGAGATGCTTGCCTTAATGCCTGGCTAATCTTTCTATTTTTAGTAGAGACAGGGGTCTTGCTCTTGCTCAGGCTGGTCTCGGACTCCTGAGCTCAAGCGATCCACCTATCTTGGTCTTTCAGAGTGCTAGGATTACGGGTGTGAGCCACTGTACCTGGCCAATAATTGCTTCTTTTATTGATCACTTACTAAATGATAGTTATTAGTCTAAGCTCTTAATATATATTCACTCATTCAACCTCAAAAAATCATATGAGGATGTTACCCCTATTATTCCCACTTTACAGATGAGAAAACTGAGGCACAGAAAGTGGAAGCCACTATTCTAGCCTTATAGTGAACTTCACAGGTGGCATGCCTGAGCCTGCAGTTTCAATACTTTCATGGTCCTGATCCAATTCAATCACACACTCCCATAAAGTTCAGTGGAACTTGCAGTAGCGTGAGGGAAACGTGATACATTTCATATGAAAGGCAAATACAGTGGGAAGGAATTAAGAGAAGGGGCCTTCTAGCTAAACTGGGGACATAGGGCTCTGCCTCTCCAGCTCCTGGGAGAAAGCCCAAGGACTGGCACTCTCCAGGCTGGTACTGTTGGATGGAGAGGGTGGTGTCCATGTGGCTAAGAATACATGGTGACTCTCAACTGCTAGCTCCTGAATTGAAAGGGCAAGTAAGAACTGAAGCAGGAAGAGGTGAGGAATAAAATCATTTTGTCACCGTTAGAGGGAAGAAGTGACCCTTTATTAGCTCATCAACATACCTATTCATCCAATATTTATTGAGATGGTGCTCTGTACCAAGCAGTGGGGTTCTGTGTACTAGGGTTGCAGAGATGAAAAAGATCAGAATTCTTAACTGCAAAGAGCTCACAAATTCCAAAGACATGTATAACCAAAGGCTCAGAAACTTATGAAGGCTTGATCCCTTTGGAGACCTGAGAGTAGTTTGGTCCCCAGCAATATCAATTGGAAATGATCTTTCCCCCCTCAATGTCTATGACTGCATTTTTACCTTAGAGACTCAAAATATTTTAGTAATACCCATAACAAATGCAAAGCATTTGAGAAATGTGGCAAAGCAGGTAGACAAAAAGTCATCAGTGGAGAAAAGTTTGAATGCAATGTAATGTTAAAGTGTTTAAAAACAATAGACAGAAACCTGGTGCTTTTGGGTTTCTCATTCTCATGGATCATCTTCATATTTATAGTGCCTACAAGCTGATATGTAGGACTCAAAGTTCAAATCCAGGTAGAATTTTGCCAAGGTCTGGGGCAAGTGAGAGGTGGTTAAGTTTGTAGAACAAAAGCAAGCTGCAGCTTGTCTTAATTACCCATTACTCATCCCCCATTCCGTCATATATAAAGAATATATATTATATAATGATGTGGCTTAGGATCTTACCTGTTGTCTTAGACTTTCAGCTAAAGCCCAAAATTAAAGCCAGCAGGAAGTAAGTGGCACCATGCCTGCTAGGAAGGTACTAGGCCACCCCTACCCCCTAGGGCTTACTGAAGTGGGGTCAAAATGGCCCTTTCATTTTCACTCCAGGACCCCATTCTGCATACAGAGGCAGAAGCCTGAAATCTGCAGGAGTCACAGGACTATAGGGAGAGCAAGTGTTTGATCTTCCCTTCACCTTGTTAAGGAAGAAAGGAGAGGAAATTGTGTACTCCCTCATACAAAGGGAAGGATGGTGGATGCTTCAAAAGAACCTTGTATTAGAAAACAGAGGTGTTGGGTAGTGCCTGTGGCTCAGTGAGTAGGGTGCCAGCCCCATATATGGAGGGTGGAGGGTTCAAACCTGGCCCCGGCCAAACTTTAACAACTACAACAACAACAAAAAAATAGCCAGGCGTTGTGGCAGGCGCCTGTAGTCCCAGCTACTCGGGAGGCTAAGTCAAGAGAATCACCTAAGCCCAAGAGCTGGAGCTTGCTGTGAGCTGTGACACCACAGCACTCTACTAAGGGCAACAAAGTGAGACTCTGACCCCCCCCTAAAAATTACAGAGGTGTCAGCAAGAAGAGCTCTCTATTTCATTCTCTGGAGGGGTGTCTGTTGAGTGGCAGCAACTTATAGATCCACTTTGGTACATTAGGAAGAATCCCTGTCTGAGAAAGAATCCTTGAGACAGCTTGACATGTAGCATTTGGGGTCCTAAGTAAAAAGAGATGGATGAAAGAAAGAGGCTAAATGAGGATGAGTGTGTTGGCTCATGCCTGTAATCCTAGCACTCTGGGAGGCCGAGGATGGTGGATTGCTTGAGCTCAGGAGTTCGAGACCAGCCTGAGCCAGAGTGAGACCCCTGTCTCTACTAAAAAATAGACTATTGTCTAGACTTTTGTGTGGTGGTGCACAATCGTAGTCTCATCTACTCGG